TTGTTTCGTCGACACTATGGTTTTAATCAATTAAGCTTGATTCTTGTTTTGTTGACACTTTTTTTATCTATTATAAAACATGGAATTATAGTTGCAATTATAAAAATGTATACTACAATTTTAAATTTGAAAACAATTTGTAAAATTCAATAAAAAAAGATCAACTGAGCAACGGATTTCTTTATCAAAACTAATTAAATCTAGTGTACAGAATAGTTAATAATAAAAAATGTATATCCTTGAAAAAAAATTGTACAAAGCAAAATTGTTTACACCATGCAAGAAATTATATGTTAATCGTAATCATCGTTTACATTATTTAGAAGATAGATATAAACAAAATAGTATAAATTTAAATGACTTTTTGTGTAACAAAAACAATAGATGTTAAAAAGTTTTAATCTTTTTGTCATATATTTTTCAAGACTATATTGTATACACGATCATTTTGAAATAAAAACTTTGTAATTGCAACTAGAATTCCATGTTTTACAACGGATAAAAAGTATCGACGAAACGAGAATTAAGTTTAATTGATTAAAACCATAATGTCGACGAATCAAGATAAAAAAAGTGTCGACGAATCGAGCAAGAAATTATTGTCGATGAAACAAGAATGGATCCTGTTATATGACTGAGAATAAAAGAAATAAGTAGACGCGGTTTTAATTATACACTATAAATGTTTTGGATACTTTTCAGCAGCCAATTTATTGATCAAAATCTACTTATTTATTTTGAATTTTTAACTCATTCGAGTCATCATCAGTAAAATACACGAGTTGGAAAAATTAAAGTAAAGTAAAACTGTCGACTTTTTTGTATAAAACATGGATATATCTATATATGTTTATATATTTATAGATATTTTCTTTTCAACTTTGCCAACATGACGATTTAAACACGATATTTTTGGAGTATATGACAAGCAACATAGTTATGAAAGAAGATACTTCCTTATAAAGAGAAACATCTTTACTATTTACAGTATAGATGATAATTAGAGAGGCGAATTTTTCGTATATATAAATAAAATCCAGACAATGATGACAGTTTTTTATGGCTAAATATAAACAATAATTCAAGAATTTTTTTTATTTTCTGTGTGATGTTTCTGCTTATCTTGTCTTATTGATGTAACTTTATAATCTTTCTATAATATTTTTTACTAATTTATAAATAAAAAACAGATAGACCAGAAAAATTCTTCGATAAATCTACAATGACAAAGTAACTACTAAAATAATTCATTTTATTGACATTTGTACTGCTTGGATGATTTATCTTCCTCATCAATGTTGTCGCGTGTCATATACTTTATGTTTATAGATTGACGAACAATTATTCATAAAAAATTGAATCACAAAAAAAATTATCTAACGTTCTATATCTCTTTTTTCTTATTCAAACAAAGTTATTGATACTATAGATTATAGATTTATGGGGGCTTTTTGTGTTATGAAGTGACGTAATAATAAGTAAAAATTTATAGTTTTTCTATTATTATCAATTTATTATTATTATTTTTTTTTCTGCATCATCCAAGAATAATAATGTAATTGCGAAACATTATACGCCTACTTTTGCCTCGCTTTTTTCAACGTCATAAAAATAAAAAATAAAAAAAACATTAAGAAAAACATCCTATAGCTGTTCTAATATTTCTTTAGAGAAAAATATTTTTTTCTTCTTTTTATATAGCCAAAATGAACGAAAGGCAACCAACATCAGTGACAAATATTAGATCGTCGTCTATGTTAGAGACATTTTATATATAGAAGTAAATGTATTATAAAAAAAGGAAAAAAGCAAATTGTTATTGTGCTGTCGTCAAGAAAATAAACGATGGAAAGAGTTGAGAGAAATATTTTTTTTCTTTAAGGTGTAGAGAAACCTTAAATAAGTATAAAAATAAGTAGTACTTGAATAAGTAGTACTTGTCCACTAAATATATATAAAACAAAATATCTAAACAATAGATGTATGTACATATTATAATGAATAGGAGACGTACAATATATTAATACTTAAAATAATATGTGTAGATATATTTTTTGTTCAATCGATCACTTTTTCTTATTCTCATTCTAAATAACTGTGCAATGAGAATGAAACATTAGTCATTTATTGATTGTGAGTATGTATACAATAGATTAGATTTTAATAAAGATGACTTCACAATACTTTGATTATCATCGAATCATGAATACATCAAATAGCGAATAGAAAATGTATTTCCACAATATACATTTAATATTGGAATGAAAGTTATATCTATGTACTAAAGTATAATATATTGATGTATTATTATTCTTTTGAGGATAAATTCGCATATGTCGATTAGAGGTCGGCGGGACTGTCCCGGTCCCGCAAGACTTTTTTTACGGAACCGAGACAAAACTTTATGGAACCGGGACCTAGAGATCTGCGGGAGGGTCGCGATCCCGCAGGACTTTTAATGTGACCGGGATCAAATTTTTTTGAAAATAGTCTAGTATGGAGCATAAAAATTTCTTAGTTTCTGTGCTTGTTTGTAAGTGGACGTCAGTTCTGCGAGAAAGAACTCATGGAAAATTCTAACAGTCTTCGGTTAATACCACACACGCATGTTGTTCCACGAGCCACATTATAACCCGCTGACTTTCAAACTATCAGCGCTACTTTGAAAAAATATTTAAGGGGCCAAAAAAGTTTGATCCCGCAGACCTCTAATGCCGATACATACCAGAAAATAACAGTCAGCTTTGAAGTATTTTCCAGTTAAAATATTTTATTCCTTACTCTACATTATAATGTTGATGAATAAAAAAAAAGAAGAAAAAAAATTTACCTTATAGATGTGACTTATTCAAACTGTTTCAACGTTAACCTCATTACCTTCGGATTACTTGTCTTCTAATCAAATGTCTAATTTTGCCACAAACCCATCTATAGTTTATTTTTAAGACGCTAGTCTTTGTTTCCTAAAACTATTGTTATAAAACTAGTGCAGAAAATTAAGTTTCACTTACTTGGAGATACTTATTTGAAAGAAGAAGATTGATTTATATCCTTATTGTTTCAATAATAAGGCAAGCGGCAACCATTTTAGACCATGCATAAGATAGGCTACATTTAAGTGATAAAGTGTAACAGGTGGAAGATGAACAGTGAAATAATATATAAAAAAACGTTAAAAACGTCAAAAAAAAGTGAAAATAATTCAGACTAGACGGAGAGACGTGGCGTGGACTAATTTAGATTTTATTAAAACTTATTAATGTTCTACTAGTTAATCATCAAATTTTTTTTTTTTGTTTTGTGTAGAGCTTTATTTAAGAGAAAGCGGGAAGACTGGTTCGCCACTTGGGCGCTGTCAGTCTAAAGATAATTTAATACACTGACTAGGAGATTTTATAAAAGCTACTTATGAACGTACATTTAAAAATAGAATAAATACAGGCTACAAATTATAGTGTCTTTAACAAATATCATCCCTCTTCACTTCATTCTAATAGAGATTAGGCATTTACAACACAGAAAAACAAAAACAAAATAAGGGAATCATGTTGACCACACAAAATCACAGAGAATATCAAAAAACGTTTCGTTTTTACTTGATGCAAACTTTACAATTCTTTTGTTAGATCTACCTCTTGGTAGCCATTTTATGCAGTATTTTCTTTGATAGTGTGCAAAGAAATTGTTTACAACGTTTTTATTCAGCAGTACACATTCTAAGAACTCATGCTCGTACAATTGAATACTATTTAGTCTTTTATCCAGACATTTTTTATATTTTTCCTATAGTTGGGAGAGCAAAAGTTGAATGTAAATCAGCAGTTGGGGCACGAAAAATACAGTAGATCATGCGTAGACAACGACGGTAGAAAGAGTTGACACGGTTTTTTGAGGTATGAGAAAATAAACAATAGATTGTTGATAGGATATAGAGATGAGGCCAGGTGTAAGTGTTGAAGAACCGCTGGTTTAAAGAGAAAAACACTGGAAATTGACGATGCATATATTTCAGGATAGTGTAAGATTTTCCGAGTTTGATAAACTGAGCATCAATCATCCCACAGAATGAAAGTTTAGAATCGTTATAAAAGCCTAGATATTTGAACGTTTTTTGTTGTGTTAGCCGTTGTTCAATCATAAAATCTGTTTAACGTAAAATTTGTTTAACGTAAAATACAACTACTTTTAAAACAATTGCAAGCGACTCATCATCTAGACTAAGATCATTCAGCAATAGTGTGTCGACTGTAATCGTGGTTAGAAAATGTAGTTTGAGTTTCAGATTTTGTCTCCGATTGTGATAGAGACTGCACTGCAGAAAGTAATGTTCAACATCCTCCTTTCCATTCCCACATTTACATTTAGGTGACTCTCACTTCTGTTTATGCAGATAAAAGTTTAAAGGTGGAAAAAGAAGGATCAAAAATTGATATTCGCTAACAGAATATGCATCTTTTGTATGTCTGCACCAGTTATTTCTGACTATTGTTTTGAGACATTTTGAAAAAAAATTATGATGCTGCTGTTATTAAGAATTACGCAGACTTGTGAAATGTCTCATTTTGTTGAAAATTGTTTGCTTTATCTATTTTCACCAAATAAAAATGTAATGGATGAAAGAAGCTTTTTTTAACGAGTTGCTGAAAAGACACGAACAGTTTCTCACTGATGACCAATCACCATGCACGGTTACGGTATTCTAGATTGTTCATATTTGTGTCACAATGACATTTTAATTTTTTTCTGCTAACAAATACACAGAACAAACATTTCTCTACCAACTGAGACGTTCCGAAGTTTGAAACGATCATTAGTAATCGTATTATAAGAAATTTTCTAGATGCCCTCATGTAAGTTGTATAACTAGTGCATACCTCATCGTTTGTCACTGCCTTCTGTCTATCAGACATAAATGAATTTCAAAATGCTTTTGGTTTAAGTTACTTAGTGCTGAAGAAAATTTTATCTTGATATTCTCTTTTTCTCATTTTAAAGCAAAAATGACGGAACAATTTACAGTCGATCCATCCAAAGATTCAGTTGATCGTAGATCAAGTGTTTCTTGTTTATTAAGACGATCATTATCAAACAAAATCAACTTGTCATCACCACCGATAACTTCATCATCTGCCGCATCATCAACAGCCTCGTTAGCTGGTTATTGTATTGAACTTGGTAACATTGCTCACTCATTAAAATTAGCAACACATCACTTGTCTTCGGTAGCTAACAATAACAGTAATAGCAATCAAACATCTGACACATCAATTATTGTTGAAGATAATGAAATAAATGAAAATATTACTGAATCGCTCCCACTTTCATTATCCTGTAGTCTTTCTTTAGAAAAAGATCATGAACATCAGTTAAATTTTCAGCAAGCACATCAGACTAGAGATCCATCGGAAATTGAAGACTATTCATTGTCCAATAACGCTGACAATGCAAATTTTAACATAGACACAACACTTTTTGAAGATTTACTATCTAGTGGTCAGTATGTTACAAGCCCATGTTCCATTTGTTTTCACGATACCATTTCGCCACAACCAGTGTCTTGTTGTTGTTTTCTAAGTTGTACAGCTTGTTGGAAACAATATATCAACACGGCGCTAAGCGATGGTCGTATTAAAATTAGTTGTCCATCGAATGAATGCAAAAAATATTTAACAAGAGAAACAATAATCAGTTTTATTCGATGTGATCAAGCATTACATGAACGTTATCTTAGTTTGTATATATTAGCAAATCAAAATCCCAAATCTAAAACTTGTCCACGTTGCAATAATTTATACTCACTCGATAATTCATCGGCAAACGCTACAATTATTCAGACAACTAAAAAAGTATTGAAAAAGAAAAATGAATATAAAAAAATTCCAACACAAGTTCAATGTAGTGAATGTTCGTTCATTTGGTGTTTTCAATGTTGGGCACCATGGCATGACAATTTAACGTGTAAACAATTTGCTAAAGGCGATAAACAATTGAGAAAATGGTTAAATCAAAAGAATGATGAACAATGGAATGCAAGAAAATGTCCGAAATGTTCATCGCTCATTCAACGTGCTGGAGGTAAATTTAAGTTTTTATCTCCATATATTCATACATAGTGAAAAAACATCTCTGTTCATTATAGGATGTCCACATATGACTTGTCATGCTTGTAACTGTAAGTATAAAGATCATTTTTTTCCGTTGAAGAAATTTTCTTCATTGATCAGACATTTGCAATCATTGCTTATTTTTTACATTTTAATTTGAAGGCGAGTTTTGTTATTTATGTGGTAGACGTTATATAAAACTACCGGTTATTAGCCAACATAGCAATAAATTCTCGTAAGTGAATAAGAATGCGATAACTGTCAAAAAGTTTTATTTAATTCACTTTTTTCTTTTATTCCTTTAGTATATTTGGTTGTCCATACAATTTTCATCCTGAAAAACCTTGGCTAAGACGGACTATACGTGGTCTGATAGCATCGAGTTTAGTGATTACGTCACCTGTCGTTGTTGTGGGAGCCATCACTGCAGCCGTGACTGTTTTACCACCATTTGCAATCTATCGACTTATCAAACATCTTCGAGAGAAAAGATCATCGTATCATTATCAATGGATAGTGACAGATGATCGACATTTTCAACTACTTAACGAATTTGATGAAGATCATCCAATATATCCCGATGATATGTTACAAGCATTACGAGAACAATTTGAGGGCTTAATTGATCAACGCAATGAAGACTCAGGACAGCTACAAAATAATAATGATAGTAATGATGACGTTTATGAAACAGTTTATCATAGTAATTTACAAGATGACAATGAAGTTTCCGTATATGGTAAATGGAATTATGTTTTCTCAAATATGGATGTCGAAAATTTGTTTAAAGATTTAAATATTGAGTCATCTGTTACTATTAATAATGATAATAATAATAATCCGAATGCTCGTTTATGTCAAGAAATGTTTTGTACAGCTCCAAGCACGCCTGTGATACATAGAAACAACGTTATTAGAAGTAAACTTAATCGAAGTAAAAGTTTACATGACGTACTATCGAAAGATTGGAAATTAAGCAGATCTCAACTTTCAAATTCAATCGATGAACATTTGCAATAAGTTTTATCTTTTATTTTTCTATCTAGTTCAAACCCATTTTCTGAAGATTAAATAAAATTTTTTGATTTTCACTTTTACTTAGGGAACTCTATCATGCTCGGTGAAAAAAAAATCATGTGTCTATATATTCAGTTTATTAGTCATGTTCATTTGATTTTTTTTTTTTTTGATAGAGCCGTAAATGTGTATATTTGTTTTTATTGATGCTTTTTGTGTCGTTTTATTTATAGCATGCAACACAAAATGTAAATAATTTTTTTGCTACACGTCAAATAATATTAGGTTCAGATAACGCATCTCTAAAGAACATACGGACGATGGATGGACACACAAAGTGGTGGATATCAATTTTAGACGCTTT